TCTTTCTGAATTTATATACAAGATAGACCGCTTCTAGAGGTTAGAGGTCCATCTCCTTTTTAATTTTAGAGATGGAGAAACCACAGGTTAGGAGTGGTTGATGAAAACCCCATCAAGTTGACATGGGGGTAAGATAGTCATCTGGGGGCAAGAAGAGGCATTATTTTAGAAATAAACTGCCAATCACCAAACTCTTGGGCGAACACCTAACAGAACACACAGCCAGTTCTGAGCCCTTTTTCCAATCTCCACTCTGCCATCCTTGTCCTACTGTCTACTGTCGTTCCCCCCGGAGCCCTGCCACTTCTCCGGTGCTGTCCACCTCTCCCCAGGGACTTCTTTTTACCTTAGCTTTGCTTGATCAGACAGAGGGGTTCTGGTTTTGTTTGTTTGTTTATTTATTTATTTATAAATAGCATCTAAATCTCAATACAACACCTAAATTGTGGTCTCACCCACAGTGGCTACTGCGGAGTTTCACAGATAGTTATTTGAAGTCTCTGTAAGCTGCAGGGGCTGAAACGCCCATATATAAAGCCCTTGGCATCCCTCACTTTCCTCACCTGAAGGAGGAAGTGGTACCCAGCTCCCCAGGGCCCGTGACTGTCAACAATCCTCGGGCACACGTGCTACTCCATCTCTCCTGGTCACTGGCCCCCAAGCCCCCTCCACACAAGGCCTCCAGGGAGGAGCTGAGGGGCTCCAGGCTCACCTCCACCCGGTGCTACCTGAAATCCCACCCCCAGCACTTGGTCCTCCGCGTCACGTCACTCCCACTCTGCTCAGAAAACATGAGGCCTCCCCCGCGCAACAGTCTAAAGGCTCAGGTTTGTGTGGCCAACTCCCCAGACTGCGTCTCCAGCCGGTGGTTTGCAAAAGTGTTTTTTAACTGAATCCTTCCTCCTCCCACCCCTCCCAACCCCCAGCCTATGACAAGCCTCTACTTAAAACCCGATCAAAATGGAGCCTGTTTTAAGTGTCAGAGGGAGGATGGAGCCCAAGAACCTGGCCTCCTGTTGGTCCTGCCTTCCCTCTGCAGGCAAGCAGCTGCCCCAGGCCTCACTGACCACTAACCCCGTGCTGGACCCACGCCCTCTCCCAACACACGTTTCCCAGGCTCCCACGGGGCGTCACTCAGAAAGCCCTTGAAAACGAGCAGATCAGACCCAGCCTCTATCTTTTCCCAGAACCTGTCAATGGCACACGGGTCCCCATGACTCATGACTTCCATCCCCCAGTCCTGGCACGGCCCCCATACCTCCCTCCTTCCACCACAGCCCCACCGTCCTCGCATTTCCAGTCAATCTTTGGCACTCGAGCTCTCTATTTTCCAAGATGTGGCTCCAATCAATGCTTTCTTCTGCCTACTGCATTGAGGCTACATTTCTCACCTTGGCATTCCAAGGCCATTCACCTGTGGCCAGAGCTGACTCGGGCTTTACTGTTATGGCTTCCCTGAGGGTCCGTGGGTCACCCTGGGACGTGCCCTGCTTGTCGGACATGTCCACACGTCCCCCTCCAGCCCCCAAACGGCATCATCATTTCTCTGTATTTGCATCCATCTGCCTAGAACCCTCCTCCATTCTTCCACTGTCAAAAATGTGTTGAAATCCTCTTCCTCCATCCCAGTGACAGGTCACTGTCAGCTTCACAAGCTTTTACTGATCCTCTTTCCTGGATGTGACCCTCCCCCCTGGTCCTCCTCCCTGGACGTGACCCTCCCCCCTGGTCGTCCTCCCTGGACATGACCCTCCCCCCTCCAGTCCTCTTCCCTGGACGTGACCCTCCCCGCTGGTCGTCCTCCCTGGACATGACCCTCTCCTCTATGTTCCTCTTTCTACATTATCTTCATGATATTATCTTCACATTGAGGGCTTCTAAATGTTCTCACCTCCTTGGTGTTAATCTATGTTCATAAAACCCTGTGATATACGTAAAGAGTGGAACCAAGGCTGGAGAGTTTGACTAATTTTGCGAAGGTGACAGTGTGGCTGTGAACTCACACCCTCAGGCTGGGTCCCCAGCCCAGAGCCCTTCGCCCCTCCCTCCAGCCCAGGTGTCATCCTTCTTGAACTCCCAGAGTCTGGGCTGCATGATGGCTACATTGGCAATAACCTCCTAGAGGAAGGGCTGCCCCACCCTGAAAGCACCTGGCACAGGTAGAGAGTCAGAGGTATCTCCTTGCTGGGCACCTCGCAGGCCAGTTGCCCTGCAATTCTGCCCTTTTAGCCTTCAAAGTAGCCCATGTGGGGAGTATTACGAGCTTCTTCTGAAAAATGAGCACCTGAGGCTCAGAGAGGCTGCTCTCCGGGCTGTGCACCCCCTGCCCTGTGCTCACTGACAAGCCACCCCCAAAGGACACAGAGTGTCCACAGGCAGATCTCAACGAATGCCCCAGATGCTGCAGAACCACCTCTAAGGACAACTCCTGGGAGAAGGTCTGTTATTTTTAAGAAGCCTATTGGAAAACCATTCCGAGTTATTTGAGAAATGTTAAGCTGGCCAATGTTTGCTTTTTAAAAAATGAGATATGTTTTCCTTTCTTCTACCCTCAACTAATCACCATCTAAAGCACCCGCGTGGTTGTTCTTTTAAGAGACAGGAAACGTTTAACTCTTACCAACAAATTTCTGAGGCATAGAGCTCTTACGTTTGGCGACGTTACTTGCTAGTCTGTCCAGCACGAGCGAGCGCTCCGATCCCATCTTGCACAGGTCTTCTGCCATTTCACTGTGATTAGTTTCTTCTTTAATGACTAAAGTCAAAGACAGTTAGAAAGACCAGTTTAGAAACACTTACGGTGAAAGAATTCAGTCTCATCATCACTGTTAAATATGACATGTGTTAAGTGCCTACAAGAGCCAGGATCTTCACGGAGATTATTTCTAATCTTCCTAGCAACCCTGCCAGCCAGATGGAAGCTGACCAGAGCCACCTGCTAATGACACCTGCCTTATCCCCCAAGACCAGGGAATAAGCACCACCACTGTCCCTAGAAGCCAGACTGTGATTAAGTAATTGTGTCCCTTTGACAAGTCCTCTTAACTTTTCAAATACACCCCAATCCACTAATTCAGTCAATCCTGACAGCAGCCCTCCTGAGAGTCAAAGAACTCTCAGCTAGAAATGATCTAAGGCTCAGACTTTGCCACAGTGAACAGAGGTGCAGGAGAAACCTGGCCACAGAGATGCTGCAGCCAATCCTGGCAACATGGGAATGAACTCAGAGCTCCTGGACCCTGAACACAGCAAACCGGAAAATCAAAAAAACATGCACCGTAGGAAATCTAGAAATTGTGGAGGTGAATGTTGATCTAGGAAGTGTTTTTAGCCAAGCTGTGCTTTGCTGTGTCATCCCTTTCTTTCCATAATTGAAGACACAGCTTTGTATCCTGCATAACCATCCGTGTTCTAGTTTTTATGGTTGGGTTTTTGGAAATATTGCTCTTTCATCCCCCTGCAATTTCTCCTAAGCTATAAGAAGCTAAAAATACAAACTGATTATCTTCCAAATGGCAAATCAATTCTTCCCACACCGATTCTGAAAAGTCCATTGAAATCCCACTGCTCTGTGCTCCTTCCTTTTTCAGATGGGACAGGCTGATTGATCACAGGGTCTCTGGAAGTTTTACCCATTTCTATTATTGATTTGTCTGTCTATTCTTCAAAGAGGTCCAGATGACAGCTACATTTGAATACAGCATTAGACATTACTCTTCTTTTTAAAAAATGCCATTTCCCTCATTTACTTTTCCAGATACACTTTATAACATTCCAATAAGATTGACAAACCAATTTCATGCTAAAACCATGCTGTGATCCCAGAGGACACACGTGTAGTGTCCAGGCCTCTCTCCCTGTGACTCCTCCATGTTTTCTGGCCCCAGTATTGTTTGCTAGCTTTCTTCATCATGGACTGCACATGACCTGCTAAGATTATTTCTAATCATTTTATGCCTTCATTGCTTCATGATGAACGCCACTTTGAAAAAATATTTCAAATTGGTTATTATCGTTGGTAAATGTAATTTTTTAGCCTTGGAAATGTGGGTTTCTTATTAAATGGGCAAACATAACAGCCCACACCCTGATTTATAGGAGGGGTACCCATAAAATCTGTAGAATTCAATTGCACTGGTAGTATTTTGGATCTAACAAGCTATTATGCTTCCCAGTGTATCCATCCTTCTCTGCAAAGCCAGGCCCATGGCCTGTCCAGGGCGCCTACAGCACCTCGAGCTGGGTTTCCTCTCTGCCAGGCCATGGGGCCTCCTGAGACCCTCAGAGACAGCACAGTGAGGGGCCATGAGCCCAGAGCTCCCAGACCACTGACTCTTCTGCCATTTGATTCATTTCTCTCTAAGCTTGTAACACAATCTGTGCACCTAAGGCTCAAGGGAACCTCATGTTTTCCACAAAGACATCAGGAAATTATGACAGATGATCAAAAAGCCTTTTCCTAAATAAAATCATATTCAGAAAAATTAAATCTTTGCTACATCTCATAAGCTAGGCTTTGTCTGTACCTAAGCCCAAAGAATGGCTCCAACCTAAGGGGATGGAGAGGGGTGAGTCTGCTTAAGGGCCCATCTGAGTGCTCATGGGGGCTGGTCCTGGGGGGCCTGGGAGGGATGGGTGATGAGAAATGCACAGAGGGTACAGGTCAACCAGCCCAGCACAGCGAGACTCCCACCCACTGCCTGCCTGAGACCTGGTGTAGCCTTGCAGGAATTCCACTGGCTTTTATGGACCCTCACCCAGCACTAACTCCACACGAGAAGCCATCTCATCTGAGTACAGGACAGAAAGCCATCATGAAGAATCCCAAACCATCTGATCACCAAAGGGAATCAATTTGCATCTCAGGACTAAATGGATCCACACTCTCTCTGTTTACATCTTTCACTTTACATTATCTCAGATCAGAGCCAAATGTTATCTCGAGATGCAATACACAGCAAAGCATCAGAGCACATGAGGAAAAAAAGCAAGCTTCCCTTGAAACCTGTGACAGCTGCAAGACTACAGACAGTCAGGGTCTTCCAATCATCCCATGTTCCAGGCAGGTGCCAACACTGACGAATGAAAACATGGCCTGAAAGCTCTTATTTGATCCACTTCATGAAAAAATCATTTTTAAAACCAGATTTCACATCTTATTTTGATGACTAAGCACAAAGAAGCAATCGATACTCCAGGTTAAAAAAAAACCAAAACACCAAAAACCAGAAAGAAAAGAAAAAACCCGACTTTCAAGGGTCACTACAATCTTAGAAGCTTCCCCAGACTTCGAGAGGAAGGGGTTTCAAGGTCACGTGCTCCCTGGTAAGAGGAGGTCTTGGAAAGCTGGGAAGCACAGGGCACTCCTAGTGAGAGTTCAGCGGCCAAAAACGTCCCTCCATCCCAACCGTGGTGGCTCCCGGGCCTGTGCTCTGGTCCAGCTGCATCCCAGCGGGCAGGAGGCCCTCCTTCCCCCCAGCTGGGGAGGGAGGGGGAGCCAAGGCCAGGCAGCCTGTGCCCTCGGCGCTTACCTGGGTACAGTGTGCCTGGAAGGCCCATGCTTTGCAAGTAGTTGTGGCAGCGCTCTTTGTGTTCCTCTAAAGAGCTTCGCTGTTTATAGCTTCGGCCACAATATCCACATTTGTGAGGCTTACCAACTGCAGGAGACACAATGGAGTTCAAGACCCCGATTAAATAGCGGCCGTACATGTCATGGGAAAGCATGCAATACACTTTTCACCAAAAAGGCAAAAAAACCTCTGCTCTTGAGGGCTAAAAGCATTATGGTCTCCATCGAGTTGACTGAATTTAAAGATGTGAATGCCCAGGGGTTTCCTGATTGTACCAAGAACTCCTGTTACCTTTTGTTCATTTTAACTTGTTCACTGCCTAACAAATTCTCTTCTACTTAAATCACAAAGTCTGAACTTTAGCTGGAGGAAACAAACCACTGCAGTGTTATAACAGGGATGCCTGACAACAGAGCAGAGATGTGAGGAAGGCCCAAGCTGGCTGGATAATATACAGACTCAACTCCAAAGTTGGCCTCTTGTCCATGGCCACACCGTGGGCTAGGTCTGGAGTGACAGTGGCGCCAGGTCTAATGCAACCAAAGTGAATTCAACTCCTAAACTAGTGCTAACAAATACCTTGAGGTCTCTAAGACACCACAGTGGATAAATAGACCTTAATGAAATGAGCATTTTGTTTCCAAAATGTATTTTCTTGTTCTAACCTGGAAAAGCTCTGTTTTCTCCCCAGAGACCTTTAGGGATGGCATGGCTTCTAGATCAGTCCTGTCCAACAGAATTTACTATGAAGAATGAAATGTTCTCCACCTGTTCTGTCCAATATGGCAGCCACCAACCACATGTGTCCACTGAGCATTCGAAGTATGCCTCATGCCACTAAGAACAGAAGTTTGAATTTTGTTTAACTAATTAAAATTAAAATTTATATACCACATATGGCTCGTGGCTACTGTACTGAGCAGTGCACTTCTATACAGAGTTTAGTTCTTCCTGAATTTTACTGAGTGGTATTTTAGGAAAAGAAGACTAGCACAAGTTCATATCATGCCTAAGTTTAAAGATTTTAATAGCATTTTAGGAGATAAAATGGATGAAGGATGTTCTATTATTTATACAATACAAATTTCCATCCTGAAGCCAGAACCTTTTAGTTCCTCCTCATATTGTTAGATTTCACATATTTGAGAGTATTATGTCAAAATCGACGCCATCCAAATAGGACTGTTTGGTGACACGGCTTAACCAAATCTTGTATTGGTTAAATCTCTTCCTTAGGTGAACAGAAACTATGGTTTAAGAAGACTAGATGAAAACCAAAATTTGACTTCTGGAACATTTACTGGAGGGAAAAGGGATCTTTTTTTTATCTGGAGAAAGTGTTGTATCCCTAACATCAGAGAAACAACATTGACATACACAATGTTGCCTAAAACCGCACGTTTTATTGAGTATGGCCTTTAGAAACTCATAGAATATAGATAACCCACTCAATGTCTTTTCCTGGAAAAGCTACAGCTTTAGCAAATTTCCATACATATAGCCTGGTGTCTGAGTACCCATTTCTGTCTGAGTATATGATTGATTTTAACTCTGGAACATGAGAAGTTCATGAAAGCAAATGAACGAAAGTATATCTTGAAGTGTAGTCCACTGTTCTGCAGGAAAGAAGGTCTCTAGCCAAGCTTGCAATTTCCAAAGAAAGCAGAGAAGAAGGGAGGGGGACCCTTCCTCACGCTTCCAGACTACCCAAGCCCCTCTTATCAGTATGGGACAAATCCTATAGCTGGAATCTCAGGCCACCACTGGTTGCCAGGGAAAGCCACCAGGTTGATGGTGGTTTTTAGCGGAATGGGGGTGTGGCCATTTCACAATGGACTAGAACGTGACCATATTTGGATTTGCAGACAAAGGCTGAAGTCCTCATTTCATTCTAGTGAAATCATCTTGTAGAACCTAAGTCATTGTCTTTTTTTTTTTTTTTGCAGGAGTCGTGTGTCTGTGACACTTTATGATGACAGAATCACCAGCAGCCCTGGATCAATGATGGTTTTCTCACTACAGTTTTGTCTACTCGCTCATCAGTGGATCCCTAATAGAAATAAAGGGTCCAAAGTCTACCACTGTTACATATAATCGGCCACACTTGGAGCAGGATACCATCATGCCTCAAATGAAATAAGCAGGCATGGAGCCAGAATAAGCTAAAATACTGCACTAGGTATTTCTAACTTCACCATAGAACTGATACGCAGGAGAGATTTCTGTTGCCAATCAGAGTGACCCAGGGATGACGACAGTATGGTTGGTGTCAAGCTAAGGCTGAGTCTTTGTGTTTTCTACCAAAGGGGATATTGTGCATCCCACAACTCTAATGCAGTGTTACTGCTGTGATGATGTCAACCTGAATCCACATGAAGGCCACCTGTGAAGTTTCTCTGCCCTAGACCCCCTGGTAGGCTCTGTACACAGACGGTGTCACTGTCACATCTGAAGCCTACAGAGACCCTGCAAACCTCCACCTCTGGGGGGATGACACATGTGCTCCTTATTAGCCACACATGTAAGCACCTGCGAATGCTCACTGTCACGGCATCATCATCCCGCTTTGGGGGAGCCGTCTGTCTTCCTGTCCCCTGCAGCAAGGTCCTCCCCAGCCCTCAGCAGGGCCCAAGCCCCACAGGCACCCCTGCTGACCTCTCCTTGTGGAGAAGCCACTCCTCGGCTTCGTGTGGCTCCTTTCTCGGAAGATTTTGAGAAGCTTTCCCACACCATCCCAGTTTTCTAAGAGCATTTGGGAGCCTCCGCCACGCTGACCGTCAGGAAGGAGGTCGGAACGAGGGGCGATGGCTGGGCCGAGCATCTGAGAACCAGAGCTGCCGGGACCCACCCCCCCCACCGTCCCTGTGGCCTTCCGCTGACTCCCTGCAGGCACCACCCACCAGAGGAGGGCCACCTCCCCACAACACTTGTAAATGCCCAGCACTTCCCTTTCCAGGACCACATGCTCACTGGGAACTTTTCCGAAGGTGAGCCTAGAAACTCGCCCTGTGGCTGGACCCAAGCCCTGCCTCCTCCTGGATGGACACCTCCCGCCTGAGACTGACTGTCCCCTCCCTGTGCTCCCGCTGCCCCTCGGATGCTCGCACCACGGTACCCGGCACACGCTGGGGCTCTGCCGTCTCCTCCCTGGGGTGCTCAGTAAATGCGTGACGAGGAAGCGGCCCCAACCCTGGCATCAACTACACCTATCACCTCTGGGGAGCGGGGCCTGAGCGCAAGCCAACATTCCCCAAGGACACGCATCCCCGCCTCCTGTGCTGGTGTCCTGGGGGCGTCGGGGGGAGCTGGTCCACAGCCTCTTCCTCTCCCACCGCAGGTCTGGACAGTCTGGACAGTGAGCTCCCTGAGGGCAGGGGTGAGGGCCCATCACCTCCTGCTCTCGGGGCTGGAAGGGCATGATGTCAAATACCCCTGCGGGTGGCGTGCTGGTACAGCACACGTTCCCTACCCTGTCTTCTTCTGACCTGGAAGGTTACGGGGCCACTGGATCATGAAACACCAAGGAAGCTTCTCTGGGGGCAGAAGATCCAGTCTACTCAGAGGTGGATCTGTGCTCTCAGGCTGGAGTGCTTCGAATATTGTGGGACATTCTCGCTTACCATGACCTTGCCGAGACCCTGATTACTCAGGATGCATTTACTAAAATCTCATAACAGCCCCAAACTGGCCTCTCCCACGGAGGCCTCGGCTGGCCTCTGGCGTGACCGTTGCACTTGGGCCCAGTCGGGAGCGCACCCTCAGGGAACAGGCAACACCAATCAGGACAGAATCACCTTATCTACCACCTTTGCAAAGAAAACTAGCCCCATGATGACTCCCGAAATGCTCGGCATGAAACAGTAGCGAGGGTGGCTTAACAGTTAACATTGAGAGACGTATTTGGAAACTTTGGGGCGTTAGCAGCACACTCAAGACAAGTACGAGCTGGCAAAATCCTTTAAAAGAGAAACCCACTTACCTGACATAAGGGGACAAGGAGGCCTCTTTTGCAATACTCTACCTAAGATGAGACGTGTGCATGCATGTGTGTGCGTGCACACGTGTGTGTGCCTTAAGGTTCCCCACCCATTTCCTCCGGTCCGTTGGGAAATCAGAGCACATGGGGGAGGGCACTGCTGTCTCCGTCAGGAGCAGCCGACGCCCAGGGGAGCGGTGTCCCAGGAGCAGGGCATCCCTGAGAGGATGCCAGGCAGTCCCCAAGCCAAGCCCCGCCTGCGCCCAGAGGACCTACCAGAGTGCGTCCTCAGGTGGCCGGTGAGGGCGTCCCGCCGGCGACACGCATAGTTGCAGAGGTGGCACTTGAAGGGCTTCTCGCCCGAGTGAAGCTTGATGTGCCGGAGCAGGTTACCCTTCTGCGTGAAGGAGGCCCCGCACTGGTTGCACTGGAAAGGCCGCTCTCCTGTGGGGACGAGAAGGGAGCCGGTGAGAGCGGGACTCAGCGCTGGGACGAGGGGAGGACGTGGAGAGAAAGTTGTTTCCCGTGGGCCCGGTGACTTCCACCGGCTGCCGGTTTGATGGAACGTGAGGCTTTCAGACTAAACCTGCCAGTTCCTTAACGCTTCACTGGTTGGGTCAATTTGATCTGAAAATCTAATTTTTTTTCCCTAAATCAGAATGGCACATCACAATGCAAATTCAAACTCATTTAAATAAAGTGGCTGCAACATTTTGTGATGAAGAGCCACTCTTCCTCATCAGCAGTTTTGGAATAAACCAATATCCAATTTTGCGTGTTGTGGCATTTGGTGGGGCTTTTAATGTGGCTTTTTTCAAAGGGTCTTTAAAATATGCCACTGAAGCAGCAAAATAAAAAGGAAACTCATTAAAAATGCATTTCAGGATCACAAGTTCATTTCAGCGTTACATTCTTATATTTAAATGAAAGGCACTTCATTATAACAGTTATAATAACTTCTTTTCATTTACATTTTCCCTGTATTTTCCCTTTCAATTTCTTCTCCATTACCTGTCTGTCCCTATGCAGGCAAATCAGGAAAGAGACAGACAGAGTGTGAGGGTGGGAGAGAGAGAGAAAGAGAGAGATTGAATAAAATGAGAAGTGGAGAAACTAGAGGGGAGGTCTGCACCGTCCAGAGAAAAGTCCCGAATCTCCCCGTGGTGCTGCCTCAAAATCTGACCTGCACTGAGGTTTCTGGCTTTTTGCTTTCCTCACAATCCTACAACCTTGAAGCTAGTATTGTTCTACCCATATTCATAGAAGACAGTTATATTTTCAGTACAAATATTCTAAGAGGTGCAATTTAGTTGTCATTAGGAACTCTTTCGGGGTGGCACTACTGGAGTGGTGACAAAAACAAAAACAACAAAAAAACACTGGACCCTCTGCTGTGTGTCAGCTCATGTCCCCAAACTCTGAATCCAACAAAGGAATAAACAGGCATCTGTGCTCAAGAAATATGCTATTGAGTAGTCATAGGTCTCAGAATCTAAAATCGGTGAACGTTTTTATTTAACTCTCAATTAAAAGAGGGATACATTTGTCATGTTTAAGTAAGCATTAAAGCTCTTTTAAAAACAAATGCTTTTTTTTCCCTTTTTTTTTTTTAAGAAGGAGAGCTCTGTATGACCACAATATCTGGTGTTGAGATACCATGAGAATGCACTTCCTATTAACAATTTTTTCTTCAGAAAGAAGAATGTGTTAAAATGTACAGTCAATTTTCCCAATTGGCTTTTACGTGATTTTGGTGAACAAGACAGCACTTAGCAAAGGCGATTAAGTAGAAGCATATCTGGTACTCTTAAAATCTACCCCAGATTAAATTTAAAAGTCTGTATTGGCCTCTGAATTTCATGATTACCATCATTCTTAATTTTAAGTGGGCAGGACAGATGTGCTACTGGAAAAACTGAAACTAATTTACAATGATATTCAATTATAGACCATTTGGAATCTTGACACGAACCAGAATATATTCAGAATTCTCCCAAATCTAGATCTACATTGAACTTGGCTGAGCAGAGGAAGTCCAGCAGGTGGGAAAGTGATTATAAAAGTAACTAACTACCTAAATCTCTGAGTTGGGAGGCCACACTGGATGAGATTAAAATAGCTGATAGTCAGGCAGCCCCAAGGAGCGTCCAACAGAGATTGTTAATTACCTACTAGAAACACTTCTGAGCCTTCACACACACACACACACACACACACACACACACACACACACACACACACACACACGTTTGTGGCTGCCGTGCTTAACTCTAAGCAGACAAAAGAAGGAAGAGTCCAGGTCGACCTCGCAGGGGAAAAGCCCCCCACACACACACACACACACACACACACACACACACACACACACACACACACACACACGTTTGTGGCTGCCGTGCTTAACTCTAAGCAGACAAAAGAAGGAAGAGTCCAGGTCGACCTCGCAGGGGAAAAGCCTCCACGCCTCCACCCACTCGCTCTGGCAGGGGGACCCTCGGGCTGGCTGTTCTGGAAGGCTGGGTGGTCTCATGCCACGAAAATGCATGTGACAAGGATGTGGGCCACTCCTGGTGACCAGCGTGCCTCAGTGTGACCCCATACATTGTGAAGCATCCCCTCTGTGCTGACGAGGTGCTTGCTGGGCTCCCCCTGAGCTCGGGCAGGCTGGAGGGAACACCGGCTTGGACCCTGCCATTCAGCCAGCGTCTGTGCAGGACAGCCAGTCAGCAGAGCGAGAAAGGACAGATCCTTCCAGCCACGCGTCCCTTCTGCAGAACAGGGCAGGCAGGAAAGACAGGGGCCGTGTCTTTGAAAGTGCCATCTGTCTTCTAATTTGAGTCATTGGCTCTCGTGTATCCTGCTGGGCCTGGTGTCTTAATCCTGCTGGCAAGCTTTCCTGGAAATCTATTTGTTTCTGATTGCTGTGCTGGCATTAATATGTATCACAGGGCCTGGGGACTAGGAGACAGCGTTCCCTGAAGTGACAACACGGAGTTCAACTCAAGGTGGTTTCCCTTTGGAGGTGTTAGCAGGAAAGGGATCAGGGCCCCGGAGCTAGACGACAGACCTGGTGATCGCTTGCCCCCCGCTCGTATACGGCTGATGGTAGCTAAGTTAGACCAAGTTCCTCCAAGGCTGTATTCCCTTTTATTTAATTGGGATGAGGGCTTTCATATCATTAATTCAAAATTTAGTTTTTAGTCCCAGTAACTCTATAATCTGCCATTTCAGAGACTCCCTGTAAGAAATGTCTGCGCTCCTTTTCATAACTTAATTGGGTAAAAAAGAAAGTCTTTTTTCACATCATGAAAATTTCACATCATGAAATTTCTGACCCTATATCAGAAGAAAGTGAATTTAAAAATACACTGAACTACAAGGCTCGCTTGGGCTTATTGCAGCTGTGCCTTGGAACAGCACCCAGTGCGGTGCCGTATTTATAAAGCACGGAGAGACTCTGCCTTTCCGCCTTATAGATGGGAACAGAGTGGGCACAGGGCTAGACAGAATAACCATAATTCGGACACTTTTCTTGATGCTTCCTGTTAAAAACCCCATCATTTAGAATCAGATTACTGCACGTTCCTCTCCCACTACCCTCCCTCTGACTCCCCCGTGAGCCCTCAGAGGTTGGTGGGAAAGTGTTACTACGACGCTTGAGTTTAAAAAAATGAAACTGAGCGGCAAAACTGAGGAAGTGAAACGGTGTCATCAATGGACGACTCACACAAGGGCAGCCCTGGCCCCGCTCGGAGGCGGTGATGTAGGAGATTGCCCCGGACAGCTGCAGTCCTCCAGAAGGAAACCCCAGCGCGCCCATCCCATTCGGTGACGGCAGGTGCAAGTCCTGGCTTCTGGGGGGACATTAGGTGGAGCCCAGGCTCCCCGACGAAGGGCCCCCTGAAATGGCACTGTTTCCGGTCCGCTGTCAACTGCACGTCCCACCACCTACAGATGCTCCCAGTGTCCTCTGGGTCTGGACCAGAGTCTGCATTTTCAAAGGACACCCCAGTGATTTATGGGAACTTGACGTGTTAGAGAATTCAGGACGGGGTCGGTGATTAGCAAAGCATGTCTTTCTGATACATTCCACTCCGATTCCAGGAAAGTGGAAACCTTCCAGCATGTCTATTTATTCAAACCTAGTTTGGCCAAACTATTTCTATATCGACCTATGACTGTATTTATGCAAAGTGGAAAAGCATTATGAAAACAAATCAGGAGTTCCTTGTTTCGTTTTTTTTTTTTTTTTTTTTTTTTTGTAGTTTTTAATCTTTTTTATGGTGGTAAGAATATAGATGATAAAAATTACTGTTTTAACCATTTTTAGGTATATTTTAGGTAACCATTTTGAGTGGTATTAAATCCATTCATGATATTGTGCAACCATCAGCCATCCATCTCCAGAATTCTTTCGATCTTGTAAAATTGAAGCTATGTACTCCTTAAATCCTGATTCTCCATTCTCCCCTCCCCCCAGCACCTGGCAACCACCATTCTACTTTCTTTATGAATTTAATTATTCTAGGTCCCTCATATAAGTGGAATCATACAATATCTATCCTTTTGTAACTGACATATTTCACTTAGCATAATGTCCTCAAGGTCCATCCATCCATGTTGTAGCATGTGTCAGAATTTCCATCCTTTTGAAGATTAAATAATATTTCATTGTATGTATGTACCATTTTTTTTTTTTTTTTTTTTTTTTTTTTTTTTTAATAAAAGTCAAAGCAGGAACCATAAAACTGATGGTCTCTATGTCCCTCTTTCTGGAATGAACTTGCTCTGTAAGCGAAAGACTCTGCGTGTTGGCACCTACTTGGCCCGTGGCCACTATTTGTGGGCAGAAGTGGGCAGCAAACAGCCGGTCTACTCTGCATGTCTATGCTTGGTGGGTTTATTCATTAAATGCAATTATTCTTTTTATCAAGGCAGGCAGTCATTATATTTTGGCCATTTAGTATGCCAGCATTTCATTCAGTTATCAAATATTTATTGAAGAGAACTTTCACTGTATAGTCAGGTTTTACATGAATTAGCAGGAAAGTAATTCATGTGCGAGGTCTATTCCTCCATCAGGAATGAGTTGATATGGGTCCTGGTGTATCCTGTGAAGGGTCTATCACCACGTAACCTACCTTCACGTTAATTTCCACCTCATTACAAAGCGGGGAGCCTGACTACTCTCCTGCGAGCTTCCCTTGGGGCTGGATGTGGCGGGGACATTCCACTGGATAATTGGAGGATTAAGAGGCACATTAGGAAAAGCAAAGTCTGCTAAACTGTAGAAGTTAAGTTTTTACTGAAAATGAATGTTGACTGAAAATAAACATATTTTACGGTTTTCCAGATGTATGACAAACAGAAATTATTTTGGGAACTGCCTGATTCAAATACAAAAATGCCAAGTCCACAAAGGTCCGCATTTCCTGACAGCCCAGCTGTTTTGCTCCATGAATTTTCTGAGTTCCTGCTTCAGTTTTGATAAACAGATAAGCGTTTGGTCCCTGGGGAGAATCACATGAGGCTGTGATGCTCTTCCTTACTTCCCTGAGCTAGCTGACAAAACCCACTCTGCCACTTCAGCCTGCTTTTATCAGTTTGTTTTTCTCCTCTTGTGGAGAACAGGGGTAGACGCTGGCTTTATGATGACCTAAGATGCCACCTACCGGGGCAGCAATGGCTCATGGTATGTTTTATGTCTAAACTTTCAGTGACCACTGGAGCTGGCACATTTATTGTGTTGTTTCCACCTTTTGGGCAGAAGAGTAAAGTTTCTGTTCAATTCAAAAGACACCTTATGCATGCAGTTTAGGTAAGATGTGACCTGTTAACATTTTATTTTGAAGACTGTCTAGTGCCACTTGTGGTGACAGTCCTGGTGGGGACACCCGTGACTGGTCACCCACCAGGACTGTGCACCCTGGGGGATGTGGATGGTGCAGAACGGAGACCCTATTCCTCCGGCCCCCAATGTGAGAACATGTCAGGAGCCTGGGTGCAGCCATCAGACACAAGATTGTCCGCATCCCTTCATTTCTGGACACAGAATACTGTTTTCTACTGCCAAAGCCTCCACTGCCCCGTCCACTAGGACAGGGGTTTGGGTATTAAATTCTTTACCAATTTGAGATAGAAACTAGTGGCAAGCAAACCATCTTGGTGGGAGTGTCACCTGCTGGAGGATAAGCCATCTGAAAACAGAACTCTTTCTGAAAGACTAAATTTTGCTGCTATTCAATCATTCAACGAATGTTTCTAAAAATCAAGCCTTGTCAGTATGGATACCCCCAACATGCACATTTGACTCCTGGGTTTCTTAGTGGAAAATTGAAGGAGTAGATTTCAGTGTATCAATCTCCTCTTATCTTGCTTTGTCTCGTTTTTTGAAGGGTGAACCACCTGACAGCCCCACCGCCAATATTTAGAAAACGTGCTCTCAGGCCCTTGTCAGAACTTGCACACCGGTTACCTTTTCCTTTTTGTTTACGGCTTTAATATATAGGATCGAATTAGTGCATGTTCAGAAGTCCTTTTCTGAATATTGCTCCCGAATAGGGAGGCTACGCCTCGCTCAGGACACTCAGCCGGGAAGGGCCTTGTCCTCTGCGACACCCCGTGGGCCCCTCCAGGCCGCCAAAGGAGGAACCACGCCAGGCCTTACCAGTGTGGCTTCTTTTGTGCACCGTGAGCACATTGGGGCCGATGCAAATTATCCCACAGACATCACACTTTAGTTTGCCGTTAGGAAGTCGAATGCCCCCAGCTCCTGACAAAGCTCTGCTGCCTTGGACACCGTGGGAGCCATTCATTTTCTCTCCGGAGGCATCGAGCATCCGTAAGTCCTCCGCACACTCTTCCCCATTCACTTCACAGGCACGCCCATTCTCTTCATCACTCTGAGTCTCTACTTTAACATTACCAGCTGAAAGAGACAATACAACACAGGGGGCCGTTCAGTATCATCGCAAAAACAGAACAGAACAGCACAGCAGCAGAAACAACCCGGCGGGAGCGACACCATCTACACACAGGTTCCTGGCAGCTGACACCAGGGGACAGTGGCCCGGGCTCTGGACCCACCGGCCCACAGGGGACTGTGATACATGGCAGCAAGCATCACGGGTTTGGGACCCTCGTCTGCCCTCTCTGTAGGTCCGAAGGGCAGACGGTGAAAATGCATGGAATTTATAAATTCTCACTTTAGACTGGGTGTGTGTGGGGGGACCTCTATGCAGGATAAGGTCACCGGGTCCACTGTGACAGCCTGGGCCCCTCTGGAGGGACCTGAGGCCAAGTCCAACACCCTGTGAGCCAGAAGACCCCTCATGCCAGAAGGTGAGTACTGATCACGTAGCCCCCCCCCCCGCCCCCCCAGCTGTGGGACCTTGTTTGGCAAAACCCCCTAAGAAGCGCTTATCTAGCCTGAAAAAGTCCCCTTAAGCATAAGGAAAAGCATAAGCTACCTTTCCTTCGTTCATGTATGAATGAACATGGAGACAAAATTCAGCAAACGCGTTCAGATTTCTGACCAAAGATTCCTGAAAGAGTTCTGTTTGTTTGTTTCTTTGGCACGTGATCACTCTAAACCCTTTTTATTCCATGATGAAGATAAAACCTGCGTCCTAAAGTAGGGCCATTATTTCTCAGGTTTCTTCCAGTTGCTGAAGGGTTGACCAGCATGATGGTGAACGTAACAGATCTGCACTAGCTTTTCAGAAAGTAAGACTCGTGTGTGCACAGGGGTGAAGGGCTCCTGGTAATAGTACAATAACCACTGTCTTCTCTGCATTTAGAGTCATTATTTCTGTCATTCATGTATTTTCCTTGGTAAAGAAAATAGTCATTTGGTTTGCATTCTTCTGAAACACCAACTGATGATGGATGGCTGAATCCAATATTGTAATGACCGGGAGAAACTGCAGTTACACTGAAAGGCCTCACGTCCATCACAGTCTCTAGAGATGAATAAGAGGAAGTAGGTAAATTCTGCCCAGTAAAATAATCAATGAGACCGACAGTAACCACGGCTACAAAATCTTTGATCAACGTTGGAAATCAGTCGTTCTCCAAGTGTGGTCCCTGGACCAGCAGTACTGCCATTTCCTGAGAACTTGCTGGAAGAGCAGAGACTCTTGGGTCCACCCTAACCCACTGAACTAGAAAATCTGGGGGGTGGGCCCTGCCCTGGGCGTTCTTCACATGAGCCTCCAAGGGATTCCCACGTACACTCGAGTCGGAGAAAAACTGTGCTAGTAACACTCCAAGTTCGTTTGACTCAACACATTTCTCGTGATTTGGAAGCCCAGAGCCCAGACTCTGAAATCAAAAGTCCTGGTTTGGAATCTCAGCTCCACTCTTCATAAGCTCTGAGATCTTGGGCAATCCTCATCTGTAAAAACGGGAACTACACTAGCTCAGCAGGGGCTTTGACAGGATTTAGTGGGTAAAGACATGTAAAGTGAACTTAGGCCAGTGACTGGCCTGGCAAGTGAAAGCACGTTCCCATAGAGCCGTCCCCTTGAGGGGGCTCCCCAGGAATGTTCACGGCACGGACCGCGTGCCAGGCACCTTAACTGCCCTGTAATGGGTGACCCTCACAATGGCCCTATAAGTGAGGTGCTGTTATCCTATTTTACAGTTGAAGACGCCCAGGCACAGAGAAGTCGAGCAACTTGCCTGAGGTCACACAGCTGGGAGATACTGCAGGCAGCCTGGCCCCAGCACCCACGCTCCTAACCGCCACACCGCCCACGTTGCCCATCAGATCTTTGGACAGAAGACTTGCAGACAAATAAGCAAACGGAACGAATGAGCTGGGACACGGGCTACACCCCCACTGTGGACTTGGAGACCCCAGAAGTGAGGGGATATCTCTTCCCATCACATCCTGGCATCACAGAAGACTGTCCCGAGGACTCCAGGAAGTGGGCGTGTCCAGGTGAGCCTCCCTACTAGATCCCGAAGAGCAGGGACTTGGGAGCATCCTGCATCTCAGCGGCCTCCTGCTGACCTCTCCCAGCCGCCGGAGACAGGGAACCAAGCCCTCCCGACATGGCGAGCTCAGGAGATGAGTCAGGTAAGGAGGGTAGCTGTGCCATCATGTGATGGAGCTTCACCCCTGAGCCCTCTGGAATCACGTTCTCAAAGCTAACTCACTAGGGCCTCCCTGCCCACTGGGTTCTGCTCTGGAATGCTCAAAGCTCTCTGCACTCCTTCACCGGGGTTATTTTTAATCATCTGTCTCATGGCTTTTGAAAATGAGATGGGGCCAGTTCAGAGCACAGCGGGGCAAATGACTGTTAGGTGTGGCAGGTTCTCCAGCGCCCGGAGGTGGGACCCAGGGCACAGGCCAAGGACCCTGTGGACGAAGGAAGGGAACCATGCAGATGAACAAGCGTTGGCATAATTCCCTTCACCGATCTTCCTGCACTCAGCTCCAGGTCATAAGTTTAGAGGCAACCAGGTCAATGGGACTGACTCTTGCTTTCTCCAAAACACACCTCAGTATAGGTCTTATTAACACTTGCCCCAAACTCCCACCTGTTCTGCATTAAGAAGACAGGTGTTTGTGTGACCGTCTGGTGGCCCTGTGGCTTGTGTCGATGATGAAGTGCGGGCCCTTCCTGAGCAAAAGGGGAGCTTCAGGAGACCCGAGGTTTCTGCCATCAGGACACACGTCCCGGTCCCGCGGGCAGCCTGCTGGCAGAGCAGGTAAAGCGCGTCAGGAGTGAATGGGATGAGGACAGCGGGAGTGAAAATTGAGGGACGGATGTCACCTTAAATATCACAGACGCCCTCAAGCCAGAAGCCTTGATGCCAGTCACTCATCCGACAGCAGTTCATGAAGGCGGGCCAGCTGCCATGTGACAGCTTCTCTGAGGACTCTGTTCACAGAGCTGAAAACCAGAGGCTGAAGAGAGCTTATTTTAGATTACCCTCCGATCACTGCGGGTCCCCTCTTACGACTCTAGGTAGATGTGTTTGGTGCCAGAAGAGACCAAACTTGCAGGAGAAAATTCGGTACCCTGTGACGCTCTGGTTTTCGGAAAAAGGCAGACAGACCCCCAGACTGGGGGTCCCTGGATCACAGCGGCAAGGCCAAGGCAGCGTAAGTAATGGGAACTGGACAGAGCGCTCCAGGTAGGCAAAGGGTAGATGCACTGAGTCCCGGAGGCCAGATGCTGGGGATGCAGAGCTGGAAGTGTGCTAGAGCTCTGGGGGTGAATTGGAGGCCAGACTGTGACAGGAAAAATCTGTGGCAAGTAAGAGGGGAGAAAGGGGGCCTGAGGGGGCTGGGAGTGGAGGTGAGAACCAGAGGGCAACATGTCAGCCAGGGCTCAGCAGATTCAAGCACGTGTGCATTTTCTCTCAGTGTTGGGGGAAGGTTCCCATCTCTTCGTGGACAAATACAGGCTGGGTGCTGGTTGCATGGAAGAGGGGCAGAGATGCCCCCCACCCCTGCGTCTGTGAAAACGGGGCCTCTCATCTGACGGGGAGGCGAATACAGGCGACATACGTGTTATTTTCGTAGATGATGGAAATCAGGCCACGGCACTGTCTTAAAACATGGCAAACACAGACCTGATCTCAAAGGTCAAAATCTAACAGACATCCATCACTTAAGGTAGAATACACATTTTAGAAACACAAGCTCGGGCAGGGGTGTCTTGGCTTCACCACCTCGGTAAATGTGAAAATGGCTTCAGGGGTTTTAGGTGATGATGAACTTGACTAGTGACGAGGCCTGAGCAAAGGAGAGCAGAGGCTGCGGTCTTGGGGGCCTCTGTTATTGACATCTAGAGTACCCTGAGCCAGCCAGGCCGGATGCCTCCTTTAAATGGGGGAGTGCAGCCCGGAGAGGGTCAGAAGGAAGTCGGGGGACACTGAAGCCCATTCCTAGGGGACATCGCGGGGCCTGGACATGCTCGGCTCAGAGACACCAGCCTCCGGCTGACAGCAGAGATGCCGCCACCCACCCCGAGCTCCTGAACGAGGGGAAGCAGAAAGAGCGGCAAAGTGGGGATCGGAGGTCCCTCCACGGGGGGCACCCGCCCTGGGAGGCCTCTGAGCATCCCGAGGGCAGAGGGCAATAGCCAGGCTCTGGATGCCAGGCTCCCAGGCAAGGTGCCAGAGGGGCGGGCGCTGGTGCGGGAAGGCCCTCGGGGGTCTGAGTGCTGGTGGGCCCGTGATTCTGAACTCCACCCGCCGAGAGTCAGCGGCACCGGCCTTTGCTCCAACCAGTGAAGGAGGAGACTGGGAACAGGTGCTGGGAGTGTATTCAAGCTGTCCATCTCCTGCAGGTTCACATGCAAACAGCCCGGAGCCCATCCAAAGGGACAAGCAGCGTTCCTGCATCGTCTCTTGAGAACGCCACAGGACCAGCCCCGTCGTTCTCTTTCTTCAGACCAATGGCCCGTCCTCCCTAACCTGCATTTAGCGTACTGGGGTCCACCCCACGGAGGCTGTCTCTATGTCCCTCCCCTCCTCGGAATTCCTAAACCACTTCTCTGGCTCCGTTTCCTTGGACCCCAAACTGCTTAGCCGCAGTATTGCTCCCGTGAAATGTTATACTCTCCTTGAATACAGGGATTATACTTACAAATATCTTCTGACTCCATCCTCCCACCACCTAGAAACATGTCAAACTCAATAAGGTGCTGAATGGAAGTGGTTAAATCTAGAACATGAAATGGAGACTTCTGTGTTTCTTGACCCCAGAACACTCTGGCTCAGGCCTAACCTTGCAGCCTTTCCACTGACGCCCGGGAGCTAATGGACGGGACCCCAATGTCATTATTTAATAAATGTGGCTGCATGAAGAGTGGATGCCTTCAAATCCTGAGGCGAAAGCCACTTTCCTTCCCCGACGCAACTGAAAATTCGGGAAAACGAGTTTCGTTGTTATATATTTCAGAGGGCTTC